ATCTTATACGAAATTCTTCCTGTTGTTCTTCAGGTAAATTTTGAGTTGTTTCTTCTATACTCGAAATAAAATCAAGTTTTGGAACGGTTTTTGGTATAATTGAAAAATTTAAACCTTTAGAAAGAACGAGTTTTTCGGTTTGTCTATGTTTTTTTTATTTTTCAATGTCTATCTATTATTTCACCACAAAGCACGACTAACTAGGTAGATCCTGTACCTGTTTACGAACTATTCACCTTGCGGTGAAGCATTTTTGTGGAGAGACGACAATCAGCAAATAAATACAAAAAATCAATATATACCTATACGATGTGCATCAGTACCTACAAGATTTGATTTGAGATTAACAAGAGAGGGCACACTCGATGAACAAATAAAACAAAATTAATAAAGAACTCCCTTACTCGGTTGGGTTTTTCCTTGTGTGCCTAATTTGTTTACCAAATGCAAGAAACAAAACACTCATTAAGCTTATCAATTAGATAAAAAGTATTTATGTAACTCTCATACGGGTAGAGCCAGGGTCGTTTAAACAATTGGATATGCAATTCTAAGTACAAAGGCAGTATTCACTCAGTCTGTTTACCGACACCTTTGCGTATATGAAACCGATAGGGCAAATATGACGTTATTTGATTGATTTTTGAAATTGGTGATCTGTTGATCGCGCCAGAAGTGGTTCGAGATTGGAGCATTGGAGCCTCCAAATGTATAAAACACTTGAAAGTTAATCAGTTGTCTAACTGAAGGCCGCAATTTTGTGCAACAATCGCAAAAATTGGACATTCGACGATTGCACAACGGTCACAAATCGTCAAATCCGCACGTATAATGCCCCATTTTTGCGGTGACACACATAATGCAACGCGCATTTGCTATGAAAACTAAATAAATGCCTTCATTATTCTTCAATAGCGTTCGGTGAAAGTGTGACAGTTTCACAAGATTATCTACGTTTCATGTTATTTCACAGCACAAAATTATACAACAATGAAAACTACATAACGAAAGGAAAACTTGAAAATGCCAAGTCCAAGTTTGAAATCAAAAGAATCAAGCGCGGTTGTACGAGGAAGTTTCTGCTTCATAATCAAGTGTTCAGTTCCAGACTCCGGGTTTTTTTTCGAAGAAACTTAATTTTTTCCTGATTAAAATTAAAATAACTGTTGTTTTTTATAATTTTTACTGTGCTCCCGAGTTAAATCAGAAAATAATTCGGGCCTAGTCGGCTTGATTAGCTAAAATTACAACACTATAATTAGATTCTTGGTTTTGCAATTAACCGATGGCATTGAGCATGTCGATAACAAAGAAATAGTTCGCTAAAAAGGAATCGGTTTAGTCTCGATTGCAATGCAAAATTATAGCATGGAAAATACAAACAACATGATTGTATATTTCCAGCGGTGTGCATTTTTTTGGGTAATTGGAATATAAATGTCGGGTCTTCAGCAAAGAATCATTTGGAAAATCTATATTATATACATATCTATGTAATAACATATGTAGATAAGCGGTATGAAAAGCAATCAATAAAAATCGACAATAAATCGGTTCCCGGATATTAATTACATTTTTCATACCGGGCAACAAAGAAAATTTCGATTGCAACATTTAACTATAGGAAATGCACTATTATTGTTACTATAAATACAACAGAATTGATAGGCAGGCTTATAAAGTCAACCCTGCATTCGCAAGTTGCGACATTATCCGGATACTTTTCTAATTACCACCCTTGTGGCGACTTCCTGATTGAGCAATCGAGACGTCTCATTAATAATGACTTTGTTTCCGCTTCGCATAGGATCATTTACAAATTACATGTTATCTACTG